ACAGCCAGGGTCTAGTGCCGCACCAGGACGCTTCACATAATGGATGCAGCCTGATTCCACAGCTGTGAGAGTCATCACCATCTTCATCACCTGCAAGTGGAAAAAACAAGGCCATGCATAGCTGACACCCCCAAGTTTGAATATATTCTGCAGGGACTCAACCCGCTGGAAGTTCCACTGCTTGTAACTGAATGGGGAAAACCATTCAGCAGGCCTGATTAATACGACAGTACAGTTACATACAGAAACCCCAACAAAGCTGGGACATTACTGCGTCTGTACATGAAAGAAGCACGCAACGTGTACTTGGCATCTGTGCCGTGCTTTCAGCGTAAAAGCTTTTGATATACAGCAATCCTCCCCACAGCCCAGTACAGTAGGCCTGTATCATCCCCATACAAGGTTTGGGAGACAGAAAGAAGAGATGCTTGCCCAAAGTATCCTAGAGTGTCCATGACAAGGCTGAACACAGTGATCTTCCAGACTGCTACTCAATCTCTTAGCAACTATGTGGTATCCCAGCTCCCAAAATGGCTGTCATTTACTTAAAGTAGTTTCAGTTATCTGGGCTTTAATTTATAGATTGCGTTTGCAAAGTATACTTTGTTTGGAGATGATGCACCAAAGCAAACTCCTAGTCTTAAGAAAGACGCTCCTCCTTGTGAGAAAGAAGAGAATGCTTCTACTGTGGTGGCAACCTTCCGCCTCCGGAGTTTGAAACGATTAAACATATTTGCAAAGTGTTGTTTTAAAGTCGGTTGGGTAACGTTTTAAACACTGCAGCCCAGAAGAGAATATTTAACCACCGGTTCCTAGTGTGGATGGTCTTTGTCTTCCGTCACGTGGTAATAAGCCGTTACCTCAATCTCAGCAAAGCACTGGCCTGAAAACACATGTCCCCCGTCTTCCACAACGTATTGGATGAGCTTCCCCGCTGAAGGCGAACGCAAAATGGATGGATCGTTTTCCTTCTCAAACACACAGGTCTTGTTGCCAATGGTGATGCGGTACCTAGAAGGAGAAACAGTTGGAGAGACAACAGATAACTTTCCAGGGCAGGGAGACAAGGAGCTGCATTCAACAGGATCTCCTTGGGAAAGTGGCACAGCTTCTTGGTGGAACACACACTTTCCCGATCAAACTCTGGTTGGGACTTGCATTCTGGGAAACTTATGGAAGAAGAAGAAGAGGGGGGGGGATTGAATTTATACCCTGCTCTTCACTCGAAGTCTCCTTCCCCTTCCCCTCCCCATAACAGGCACCCTGTGAGGTAGGCGGGGCTGAGAGAGCTCAGACAGAAATTGCTCTTTTTCAAGAACAGCTCTGAAGGAACTATGGCTTGCCCAAGGTCATCCAGCAGCTGCATGTGGAGGAGTGGGGAATCAAACCCGGTTCTCCCAGATTAGAGCCCACACACTTAACCACAACACCAAACTGGATTGTCAGGATTGGCCAGCTCCCAGAGCTCAAATGAAACCTCCCATTAGATGGGACCCTCCATAAAGGAGGGTGACACCAGCACAGATCTCAGAATATGCTGGAGTCAGAACATCATAAGGAGGACTCTCAGTCCCCACAATCACCTCTTGGGTCATTAAAAATAGAGATGGTGACAAGCTCAGACATATGGCAGTGCTGGAAGGCAAACTGTTGCCTGGCAGACACAGCTCCTGCTTCCTCAAGCATTACTCTTGAAAAAGAAACCCCAGTGTATTTCCAGGATCAGGGCCCAGACTGGTGAATAGCCTTCTAAAGGAATCCTCACAGCTGTCTGGCTGGTGCTTCTAGCAACCTGGCCAATCAACTCCCCTGCAATTGCAGCAACCATGTCTTTAAAATGTGTTAGCATCCCCTCCGTCCAGAATAAGCACCCCCTTCCTCGCCCTGGCCAGTGAGAGGGTGAATCCAAACCACCCAGCTTCCACAGTGGCAGGAATGGGACACAGGGCTCTGCTGAATCTTACGGGGGTCTCCTGAATGAGAAGATCCCTGAATGACAGCTTGCATTCCACAACTATTCAGTTTTCTTCTGCAATGAAGCAACACTGGGTGTGTTCTAGCTCTTAGTTGCAAGTGTGGGGCTCATCAAACCTTTGCAATACAACATGCACTCCAGAAAATGCTTTGAAAGAATTCTCCATAATACACTAGGGCAGGAGTGGCCAAACTGTGGCTTGGGAGCCAGATGTGGCTCTTTCAGATATATTGGGCAGCTGGGGAAGCAAAGGGGAGACGTGTTTTTTCTTTTTCTCCCTCCCTCCCTCCCTCCCCCTCCCCCCATCTAGTTGCTTTCTTTGTTTCTCTCTCTCTTTCTTTTTCTCTCTTTCTTTCCACCTTTCTCTCTTTTTTTCTATCTCAGACAAATAAATATCATTATCAATATCTTTTTTACCCCTTTGGTTTTTATTTTTGGCAGTCTCATTTAATGTTAATAAAAAGTAAATTTGCATATTTTAAATAAAAATGTGTGTGTGATATTTGTTCATGTCTTGCAGCTCTCAAACATCTGACATTTATTCTATGTGGCTCTTATATTGAGCAAGTTTGGCCATCCCTGCACCAGGGTTCCAGGACAGAAGTACAGGGTTTTTGTTGATGCTATTTTAAAGATTAAAAGTTCTCTCCCCCCACCCCCCCAATAAGGAGCTCAAGGCATCTTCTAATAAACAGATAAGCTGATTTGGAAAAGGCTCTCCAAGGCAGAATATGCATTTGCGGTTTTGCATTTATTTATTTATGTCCCACTCTTCTCCCCAGTTAGGATTCAGAACAGCTTAGGACATCACTCTGCCTGCCCTCATTTTCTCACAACAACCCTGTGAGGTAGGCCATGCTGAGAGTTCATGACAGGCCAAGGTCACTCAGCAAAATTCCATGGCAGAAGTATGGATTCAAACCTAGGTCGCCCAGGGTCCCAAGTCTGCCACTTACACACATGAAAACATGAAGCTGCCTTATACTGAATCAGACCACCACCACCCCTGGGTCCATCAAAGTCGAGTATTGTCTACTCAGACAGACAGACAGCAGCTCTCCGGGTTTCATGCAGAGATCTTTCTCACTGCCAGATTCTTTCTTTTAAAAAATTTATTTATAACTGCCAGATTCTTTAAACGGCAGATGCCAGGGATTTAACGTGGGACCTTCTACACGCCAAGCAGATGCTCTGCCACAACTAAGCCACGGCCCCTCACCATTCTATCTGCTACACCACTCTGTCTGTCACAGTTTGAAGACTGCAGAGGTAAAAGTCTCAAATTCAATCCCTGGTGTTTCCAGGGCTGGAAAATACCTTTGTTTGAAACTTTAGAAAGCTCTTATCAGTTCCTGATCTCACCAAGAATAAGGGGGGAGAGGAAGATACCAAGTTTCTGGGATCTAAGGGAGGCCTGAAACGATGTGGGCCATATCAGATGACATCTCCAAAGTGGGAGGGACCGTGAGCAGATTAGGAGAAGAGGGATTTTTCCTAAATCACAGATTAAACTGCAGCCCCGATTATTACTAGTGACCACAAAGCAACAGAATGAGGAGGGATACCTGTCCACTTCCTCCTTCAAGTAGGTGGTGTAGCTGCTACCGTCATATGATAGAAGAAGCCCTCCATCACTCAGCCGGTGAACGTCGACCTCCACGCAGGAGCCATTCATAATGACCACGTAGGAGTTGGGAGACTGCCGGGTCACCTGTAAGTGCAAGGGAACAGATGGCGAATGTGGATTTCCAAAGCTACGTGGGTAACACAAACCCGATTCCTACAGTGCTCCTGGATTATATCGCTTAATCTGTAGGCAGAGAGGCCACCGCATGAAAGAACCGACTTGCTGTAAAGTGAGGGAGGGTGGCCAACTTTCCCCATTGGTCACTTGACAGCCTCCTGGCTGTTTCAAGGGCTCAGTTCCAAAATCACACGAAAACAGGGCAAAGGAAACTTAACTGTGGATCAGCGCAAAAGCCTGAAAAGACAAACACCGCAGCAGAAGAAAAATCCGTCAGCAAATCAGGATCAGAAAACTGTTGTTTCAAGAGGGTTTACAAACCACGATTTTTGCTAACTGTCACTGGGAGTGATGTCACATGACGGGGGGACTGGCGGGGATGCTGCTGGATTCCCCACCTGCAATCTGTCTCCCTGGGTAGCTTCTCCCCCAATACTGTAAGTGAACCAGGCTGGGGGGGAAAGTATCTAGGGAAGGGGTCACTATTGTTGTTGTTCAGTCGCACAGTCGAGTCCATCTCTTCGCGACCCCATCGACCAGATCATGCCAGGCCTTCCGGTCTTCCGCCGTCCTCCGGAGTATGCTCAGTTTCATGTTCGTTGCCTCGATAACACTCTCTAACCCTCTCATCCTTTGCCGTCCCCTTCTTCTTTGGCCTTCAATCTTTCCCAGCATCAGGGTCTTCTCCAGTGAGGGCTCCCTTCTCATTTGGTGGCCAAAGTGTTTGAGCTTCAGTTTCATTATCTGGCCTTCCAGGGAACAGTAGGGGTCACTTACAGCCTCCCTTTCTCCTCAGTGGGGACCTAAAGCCACTTATATCATTCCCCTCTGCTCCATTTTAGAACTGCCACCCTGTGAGGTAGGTGGAGCCAGTTTGGTGTGAGAGCCAGTTTGGTGTAGTGGTTAAGTGCACGGACTCTAATCTGGGAGAACCAGGTTTGATTCTCCCCACTCCTCCACTTGCACCTGGCTGGATGACTCTGAGCAAGCCAAAGTTCTGAAAAGAGCTGTTCTCACAAGGGCAGTTCTTGAAAGAGCTCTCTCAGCCCCACCCACCTCACAGGGTGTCTGTTGTGGGGAGGGGAAGGGAATGGAGTTTGTAAGCCACTCTGAGACTCCAAGTGAAGGGCACGGTATAAATCCAATCTTTTCTTCTTCTAGGTGAGGCTGAGAGTGTGCAACTGGCCCCGGGTCGCCCAAGCCCATTTCCCACAGCACACTGTGGATTTGAACCACGGTCTCTCAGATCTTCCGTCCAACATTCTAACCACTCCAGAGTGAATAAATGCCGCAAGGAAGGGGGGAGGTTCAGCTGCTCTGGCCCTGCAACCCATCCACCCACCCCAGCTTTTAGACATGATTGGAGCAGACCCGAATTTAAAGACACAGAGTCTGCCTCTGTGTGGACTCTGACCCTTGGGAAGGGCCTGATCCCAGACTGACACCTCACACATCGAGGTCTTCTGGTACAGCCTTGCTCCAAGTTCTTCCATTTGCTACAGTCGGGTCTGAGATGACAACAAGCAGGATCTTTTCAGTAGTGACACCCAAACTCTCCCTACACAGTTTTACTGCCTGCATATTTATTTATTTATTTGATATCTCATCCTTCTCCCCAATGGGGACCCAAAGCTGCTTACATCATTCTCCTCTCCTCTGTTTTATCCTCACAACAACCCTGTGAGGGAGGTTAGGCTGAGTGTGACTGGCCCAAGGTCACCCAGCAAGCTTCCATGGCAGAGGGGGGATTTGAACCTGGGTTTCCCAGATCCTCCTAGTCTGACACTTCACCCACTATATCAATCTGGCATTACAGGAAGAAACCTCCTTGTTTTACCAAGGCATCTGGGTGGGCCCATCGAGTGTGCTGGTTTTGGTGTGGATTATAAATGCTTATTTGTGGTGTTTGTTTGACCGCATTTTGACTCATCGGGACCTGCCTCAGGTTTGACTGAGATTGTAATACAGAAAAGGTGCTGAATGGAGAAATTACGTAAATATAGTGTGATACCTTTAGAACGTACTTCTTCCCTTCGTAGATCAGTTCTACATCCACCGTGTTCAGCAGTGTATGAGCAGGCAGGACTTGGCCCCTGAAAGATGGCGGGGAATCAGAATGGCAGAACAGAACAATCATGGGAGCGGGAGGGAGGAGACAGAAAGTGCGCAGGCTGCAAGACACAGCGGAGAAAGAGGCAAACGCAAGACACACGCCTCTTTTCAGTCTATAAGAATGTGGCTAATTATTAAGGCAGGACCAAAAAAACTCATCTACTTTACTCAGAAACAAAGAAGACTAATAGAGGCAGAAGACAAAAGAGGAAGGCAGATGGATCTCCCTGGGAACAGAGTTCCAAAGTTTTGGCTCCACAGCCAAGAAGCATCAGACAGCAGGGCCCCCCGAAGCAGGGCCTCCAAAGAAGACCGGAGCAGACAGGCAGGTTCACGTGGGAGAAGGCAGTCCTTCAGGTATGCTGGCCCCAGGCCTTACAGGGCTTCAAGGGTCAACGCCAGCACCCTGAATTGGGCCCGGAAGCAAACTGGAAGGCAGTGTAGGTGGAACAAGACTGGACTGATACGGTCCTTACGATCCACTCCAGGTGACATTCTGGCTGCAGCATTCTGCATCAGCTGTAGCTTCTGGACAGCCTTCCAGGGCAGCCCTACGTAGAGTGCGTTGTGGTTGACTGAAGCAGCACGCACACGCACCCCGCAATAAGGTGTGTGCATATCTATGTACCCTGGCCTGGATGGCCCACACTAGCCCAGCCATTAGCTGTGGTTAGTACTTGGATAGGAGGACCACCAAGGAAGTCCAGGGTCGTAATGCAGAGGCAGGCAGCAGCAAACCACATCTTGTCGCCTCTTGCCTTGAAAACCCTGCGGAGTCACCATAAGTCAGCTCTGACTTGACAGCACTGTCCACCACCACCTTCAATTGCCAAAGGGCTCTTTCAGATCTTTGGCACCCCAGTGTGCCAGCCAGTGTTCCCTCTAAGCTGAGTTAGTGTGAGCTAGCTCACAGTTTTTTAGCCTCCAGCTCACAGATTTTTGTCCTAGCTCAGAAAGGATGGCTCCAGAGCAAACTAATTTATGCAGCAGCCAAATTGCTTGCTCATAACTTTAATGCCAGCAGCTCACAAAGTAGAGTTTTTGCTCACAGGACTCCACAGCTTAGAGGGAGCATTGGTGCCAGCTGAAAAGCCATACAGAGCAAAATGGCACAGGTCAATTTTTTGTGTGATCAATCAGAAGGATCTTTAAAAAAAACAAAAACTCAAAGGTCTAGTTTTACCTTTCCAGGGAATGCAGGAAGTTGGAGACGCTATTCCGAAAACTCACGTCGGCCACATGAAGAGCCCCGCACACTACTCCTAGCATAGTATCTGGTCTCTCTGCCTGGAAAGAAAAAGGACGAAGAAATCCCAGCTAATTACCATTCCGCCTTTTAAAACTACCGGAGAGTTCTCACAGGTTTACAAGGCTGTGGCTCAGATGCAAAGCTCCTGCTTGCAACACACGAGGTCCCAAGTTCCGTCCCCGGCTTCCCCACGGAAAGGCTCTTAAGGAGGCCAAAACCTCCCTCTGTCAAAAGTCCTGGAGAGCCGCAGAGCACTCTCAGTCTGGGGGGGGGGGGAGCCTGGGGGCAGCAGAGGCAGAGCTGCACAGCAGAAGGAAAGACAAGGGCAGCAGCTAAGGAGTGGGCAGGAGACAGGACTGCCAGCCCTAGCCTCCTAAGGAGTAAACCACAGGAGGCGGGAACCTGGGCGTGGCCAAGAGGAAGCAGGCAAAAGGGCCCATCGGGAGGAAGCAAAGCAGGAGTCAGCCAGTGAGGTCTTGGGTCTCTGCCATTTGGAGAGATCAGACCTTCCCTGGGATGAGGCAGGTGGCACACCTGGCCAGAAGTATGGCAGGCTGTGCCACCCTGGACAACAGCAGTCTAGCACAAGGTTTAACCTTGCAGGAAGGGCGCCAAAGCCAGAAAGCAGCAGCTAAGGGACCCAGGGAAGAACCCCCATGCTGAGAATCAGGCTTGGAACCTGGGATGAAGCTAGGGTTGCCAACAGGTCTGGAGGGGGGGGAAATGTCCTGTCCCTTGAACAGAAGTTTAATGAGATGTTATTATTTATCAGGTAACTCCATGCCACAAAAAGATCCATCTGCTCATTCCCATACAGTTGAAAACAGCGACAGGGCATTTTCCTCCAGGCCTGCTGGCAGCCCTAGTTGAAGCCAGTGGGGGTGACGATGACAGGTAAACTGGTCTCCTGGCAGGACTGTGACTGTCAAGCTCAGAAGCTGGCTGTTTTAATTGACTCAAGCAGCTTTTTCCTTGGGGCTCTTGCTGGCTTCCTGCAGCCCTGTTTCCCAGTGGCACAGCTTCAGGCCGAGGGAGGCAGTTTTTAAAGACGAAATATCGGGGATGTGATCACAGATCCCAATTGTAAGGCGCACTTGGTTCTGAAAGCATTCTATGATTGCTAAACATGAGTTGCTATGAGATATGCTGACTTACTTATATAAGTTAAGAGCCTTTATCTATAAATGATTTCTTCAGGAATTGCCAGTTGAGAGTTTCTGGGTAGTCAAAGTTAATGATCCCCCCCCCCCATGCACTTAAACATTCAGTGAATTGTAGTACACTATGGTATAATTCAGGGGTGTCAACATAAGACCCAAGGGCCAGAACCGGCCCGTCCAGGGCTTTAATGTGGCCTGCAAGCAAGTAGTGCAAGAGAGGGAACAGGAGACTGCTTGGGGGAGGGGGTGGAGCCACTCCGATTCTGGCTTCAGCGTGGTGGAACAACCTCACCTGCAGCTGTCAAGCAGCGTGGGAGCATCTGCCCAGTGCTGCACTGCTGGCTTTCTAGTCCGCCCATGTGGGTTTTCCTCTGCACCCCCGATGCAGCCCACGGGGCCTTGCAGTGAGGCTACACCAACTCGGAGCTTACCAGCTGCTGTCCTTTATACAGTTTCTATCTCCAGTACCTGGCATTACGTGTTATGGCACACATGGCCCGGCCCGACAAAGTGACATTTAGGTCAGATCTGGCCCTCATAACAAATGGGTTTGACACGTCTGGTATAATTTTTATCATTTTCCCTTACTAATGCTGCTTTAGTAAAGAGCATGTTGAAAATGAATAACGGACTTGAAGCAGGACCTCAGCAGTTCCCTGGTATTAAACTGTCCTTGGTGCGGTGGATGGCAGAAGAGAACAACCAGAGGGGAAGCAACTCCTGGGGGCTAGACAGAGTCCCAATTGCTAATATTGATTAGATGGACTAACCGTCTGACTCTGTATAAGGAAGTTTTATCAGTTCCAAAAAGGAATCCTACTTTATACGGAGAGTGACCAGGGGCACAAGTTGGGTACTTACTGGCAATCCTGACTGGCAACAGCTTTCTAGGATACGCAACTGGAAGAACCAGCTTTCATCACTTTATGCCAAGAAATGTTCACACTTGTTAGCAACAACACCCCCCCCTTTTTTAAATCTAATAAAGGAATCCAGCCTCACCTGCACTTTCTCCGCAATAAGTCGGTCCAACCAGCCAGTGTCGATGCTGTTATGTTGAAAGCTCTCAGTCTCTAGTAGCTTAATCAGGTACTCTACTGTGGTTCGGAAGTCTCCACGGATAGACAGCTCTTTCAGAGCCACTACCATATTCCTGGGGGAAGAGGGGAGGGAAAACGTGAGAGAAGAAACTGAAGGTCCGGAAGAAAATACTGAAGGGCCAACCCTGGGTTGGGAAATTCCTGGAAATTTACAGGAGGAGCCTGCGAGGACAGTGAAATTTAGGGAGGGGAGGTACGTCCACGGGGTACGGTGCCATAGAGAGTCCAGCCTCCAAAGCAGCCGTTTTCTCCAGGGAAACTGATCACTGGCATCTGGAGATCAACTGCAAATCCAGTGGATCTCCAGGTACCACCTGGAGGTTGGCAATCCCACTAAAGAGCAATCTGCAGGACGTTAAATTCTCTCTCTCTCTTTTTTTTTTTTTAAGCCCCCGGAGGGGATTTTTATTTGTTTTAATACTACAAAAACTACCAAGAAAAAATAGGGAAGGGGTAACTACAACTAGGGAGAAAGAAAAGCGACCCACACTAAAAACCCAAGGTTAGGAGATCATTCCCTGTTAAGCTACCGTTAGTAATAAAAAAAAGAAAAGCTGTTAATAAACAATATACTTTGTGAGAACCTGTCTTTCCAAGCTTATATGTTAGTTTGTTTGTTACTTGTTATGAGAAGATTTCCCGAGCATCAGCTCGCTTCATAAAGGCAATTTTCAGAGTCCTTCCGCCTTTACATCTACACTAAGACTCTCTAAGATCTTAATAGCTTCTTAGACGTTCACTCCAGATTCTGCAGCCCAGTCCTCCTCCGTCTTCAAAGGGATAAAACCGCCAATCTTGAGCCTCTTCCTCTCTGGTCTCGCCCTCGGGGCCCAGTGGCATCTCAAAAGTTTCTTAATTGTGAAGGCAAATTCAAGCTCTTTTCTCTCAGCAGGATTTAAGATGACACTTTCTGAGAACACTTGCAAGGAAGGAGTTAAGTCCTTGTAAATCTTTCCTGTTTCTCTTGTACTTTTCCTCCTTTTCTCGTTGAAATCGCTGTTTAATTTAGTGTCCATCTCTTTTGCTTTAAAAGCCCTCAGTTCCATTTTTTCTGCTATCGTTGCCAACTGGAGCTGCCAGGACACAAATTGTTGATTTATCTTGGCAAGCTGATGGTTAATACCAACAACTTGCTCCAGAATCGGCTTGGTGGAAGCGCTATAAGTGCAATAACGTCTACTTCCCTTCTTCTCGGAGTTGTTTTCGCCAACTTTCTTAGAGTGTCCTCCATTTTAACGCTTTGTTTTCAATATAAAATCGCTTTCTCCCTGGCTCTGAAAATCGCTTTACGCTGTTTAATCGCTTAGATGCTCATGGATATCTCCCACAACAGACCTGTATGCTTAAAACTGAAGTCTTTCAGAAATGTCCGTTTACAGCCGTCTCTCTCTCTCTCCCCCCCTTTTATAAATGCGTCAGAGAGATATCCCTCTCTCAGCACGAAATCGCTTAAGAGGTTTCGGGGGGGGATTTCGCTTCAAAGTATCCGTTTACAATTGTTTCTCTCCCCCCCCAGCACAGTTCCGATCGCTCAAAACGTTTTTCCTTGGGGGAGGGGTTTCTCTTCTGAAGACAATTTGCTCATTTTAACTCACAGTTCGCTCCTTAACTCACAGTTCATTGTTGGTCTTTATATTGACCACGCTCTTGATTGCTCCTCCGCTAGATCTCCTGCGCTTGACCAGCAATACAGCTTATGGCCTCGCTGAGAGGACGCAGTCAACGGGAGGGACCGTCAGGGCGGAGGGGAGCCTCCATCTCCCTGCAAGTAGCAGGAAAAGAGGCTCACTCTCAAAAGCCCTATGGCCTGGGAGTTCCCCCCGAACCCCCGTGGAGGTGCCGATCCAGCGGCACCTCTCCCCCCCGCTGCTGTGTGGCATGCCTTCCCAGAGAGCTGGGAAAGGCATCCGCCATCGCTGTGCCGTTGACCCCGCCTCCCAGGACGTTAAATTCTCTACGCATCTTCCGAACCATGAGTTACTCCACCCCACCTAGTTGCTGAAGTCCTGTAGCACTAAGAGTTGCTTAGTCTAGGAAACCACAAAGACAACAGTCCTTCCAAACCAGAAATTCAACCTGTCAGAGCACACCTAGGCGTCTGCTGCTGAGGAGCCACTGGCAGTGGCCAAAAGCCCTACATACAGAGAGGACGCAACCAGGACAGGGTTGGGAACCGGGTTCTTCACTCTGCGGGGCACGTTGCCCAAAAGGGCTGATGGCAGCCAGGGGGAACCTAAACCGAGCCCCATTTGCACTGGCAGAGCCAGGGAGGTGGCTCAGCTTAGACCCAGCCAGTGAAACCACTGGAGAAGGTAGCAGATGAGCCTAAGGTGGCAGAAAGCCAGTTTGGTGTAGCGGTTAAGTGTGCGGACTTTAATCTGGGAGAGCCGGGTTTGATTCCCCACTCCTCCATTCGCAGCTGCTGGATGACCTTGGGCAAGCCATAGTTCTGTCAGAGCTGTTCCCTCAAGGACAGTTCTGGAAAAGAGCTCTCTCAGCCCCGCCTACCTCCCAGGGTGTTTGTTGTGGGGAGGGGAAGGGAAAGGAGATTGTAAGCCGCTCTCCTCTTCTTCTTCTTCTTCCTCTTCTCCTCCTCCTCCCCCCCCTTCTAAATCTGCTGCTGCTGGGGCCTCGCCATTAGCCGAGTTCAAGCCAAGCGTGTAGCTCAGTGGTCCCCAACGTAGTGCCCGTGGGCACCATGGCACCCACTGACACCTTTCCTGTCTACCACCAAGTGCTTTTAGAAAGTGAGCAAGGCCAGGTGCAGCTTTTGTCTGGGAAGGATTCTGATTGGCGGTGCAGATTTTTACAAACACTGCTTCGGTGGCAGCATAAGGATCTTCACTGTGTGACCGAAGGTAAGCGGCAGCAGTCCTTTTGTGGCTGGCGCTGCCTTCTGCACCAGCTCTTTTGTAGCAGCCCTTTCATGGCAGCGCCCACCACATCTTGTCAGAATTCCAAAGGTGCCTACAGGCTCAAAAGGGCTGGGGACTCCTGGAGTAGTTTGTCATCAGTGACAACCAGTGCTCCCTCTAAGCTGCAGAGTGTTGTGAGCAAAAGTTCTACTTTGTGAGCTACCAGCATTAAAGTTGTGAGCAAGCGATTTGGCTGCTGCATAAATCAGTTTGCTCTGGAGCCATCCTTCCTGAGCTAAGGTGAAGATCTGTGAGTCGGAGGCTAAAAAACTGTGAGCTACCTCACACTCACTCAGCTTAGAGGGAACACTGGTGACAACTGCATATCTAGGGGATTTTTTGCTCCACATGCCAGTGAGTAGAGAAGAGAAGAAGAAGAGATTGGATTTATACCCCGCCCTTCACTACCCAAGGGAGTCTCAGAGCGGCTTACAAACTCCTTCCCCTTCCCCTCCCCACAACAGACACCCTGTGAGGTAGGCGGGGCTGAGAGCGCTCTGACAGAAACTGTTCTTTTTCAAGGACAGCTGTTATCAAAACTATGGCTTGCCCAAGGTCATCCAGTAGGTGCAAGTGGAGGAGTGGGGAATCAAACCCAGTTCTCCCAGATTAGAGTCCGCGCACTTAACCACTACACCAAACTGCCACTTCCCAGCCCACATAACATGTGTATAATCATCACGCACAACAACCTGCACACAGGTTGCACATTCACTTCTACATGGAAAAGAGGATGTGAGCCGAACAGAAGCCTTGAGTTTCCACTGGTTCTACATTTTAACCCTCCAGGAATCCACAACTGAAGCTAGGTCACTGTGGCTTTTTTCATATTGCAGGGATTGCTTCCATCCCCTTTCACCCAGAAGTCCTCCCACTTCCAAATCCAGCACTACAAAATCCCCAATATTCATCATCAACACCCTAGTGACTCAGGAAATTTCGGCAACCTGGTGGCAACCACAGGCCCAGCTCACAGGAGATTAAAGCAGACGTGGATCGGTTCCCGACAAGATCCCGCCCCACATCCAGCTCCTTTTCCCCTCGTTCCACCCCCCCTCAACTTACGAAATGGCTTCCTCTCGGTTTTCTCCCCACGAGAAGCAGTGGCCAAACTGAGAGTCAGCAAATTCATGAAGTCCCCCAGCAGCCGCAACGCTGAAGTAGCCCCAGACGTTCTTATTACTGCGGAAATTCAGTTCCTGGACTGTCCCAGAGCTGGGCTTGAATCCCTGTAGAGCAAGAGGTAACATTATGTAAACCTGCACAGTCCATAGCTAGGGCTCGATTTTCATGTTTAATCACCACTTTAAAAAACTTTGTTGGTTTCCAGGTGAATTTCTGCGATGCAGTCTCTTTTTTCAATGTGCAAGAAAGTCAGGTTGCTCTAAAATTCATTGACGGTCATGCAGGAAGGTGAGTTTGAATTATTTGTTAATTCATGTATTCATGTCCCTCCTTTTCAGCCAGACTGGCTCTCCCAAAGACAAACTGCAGTTAAAATCCCTACAAGAACCAGCACAAATATATGTGCTTGGCTCAGAGAAGGGACCTTTGCCATTCATTCTTAGAGTTACAGTCCTCCTCCCCTTTTCCTGCATGTTTACTCTTACTGCCCAGCGATGTGTTTTTAATTAAATTTGGGTACCGAGAGACAAATTTTTCCCCTTTACATAGAATCACAGAGTTGGGCCAGACAGGCCATCTAATCCAACCCCCTGCTCAATGCAAGATCAGCCTAGAGCATCCCTGGCAAGTGTTTGTCCAGCCGCTCCTTACAGACTGACAGTGAGGGGGAGCTCACCACCCAATATCCAGCCAGTACCTTCTTGCCCTTAATTTAAACCCATTATTGTGAGTCCTATCCTCTGCTGCCAAAAGGAGCAGCTCCCTCCCCCCCTTCAAATACTTAAAGAGAGCCATCCTGTCCCCCCTCAACCTCTTCTTCTCCAGACTGAACATTCCCAAGTCCCTCAGCCTTTCCTCATAGGGCTGGGTCTCCAGGTAACAGAAGTTTCACTGTGGCACCCAGAAGAAGTAGAGACTTGTCAGCTGCTAGAGAACACTGAGGGTGGATGCCCAGTCCTCTACTCTCTAGGGTCTCCATCTAACTGCTGCTGGGGCCCAAGGGCATTCTTAACCTGTTAAGCCCTTCCCTTCGTGGGGGGGGGGGGAACTCAGCCACACAGATCCCCTTCCCCAGGACAGACACAACAGCTGTACTTTTCCTATTGCCAGTATACAGATGGGACCTATCTGAAGGGTACAACTGGTCCTCCATTCCCCTGATGTTACCGCAGAGATCTATGTTTCCCAGGCTACCGTGTCTTCCTCCTCCTCCTATACTAGGCTGGAGGAGAAGTCTGGCCCACCTCTATAGCAGATGATGTTGCATCTTTTCAGACACTAATGCACAGAGCTTGACTACAGGCAACTTCCTTGCAGATTTACAGGTGAATATTTAAGGAATTTTCAGGCCACTTGTAAAAAAGATCCCAGTTGTAGGCTTCAGTACAACCACCAGCACAGAGTTCTGTGTTTTTTAAAAGAAAGAGAGAAAGATGACAAGAAGAGGAAGGCTTACCTCGTCGGGATTCTCGCTGGTTATGCGGGCAGCGATCACGTGACCCCGAGGACAAGGCACATGGGCGGAGTTCTCAAAATCAATGGGGGTGTCTCCCCAGGGGGAGACTCCATACATCATCCGGATATCCTTGATCCTGTGGAGAGGAATCCCCATGGCAATCTAAAAGAAGGGAAATAAAGATACCTTTCATACTTATGCACACATTAGCGAAATGAATGCTGGCGCTTGCTTCCCGACAGGGCCTGGAGGGACACAGCACGTCTGCCGGCTCCTGACGGGGAGCTTTCTTGGCCTTATCCAGGGTGCAAGGTGAAGCTCTGGGAAGCCCAAGATGACCCAGGGCTGACGGACCATGGAGAAATTTCTATATGCTAATACAGCCTCTGACTAAAAAGGCAGGATTGACACATGCTTCAGCTTCTGCCTCTTCTTCTTTTCTTGCCACCAGGTCGCAGCTGACGTATGACAACCACACAGGGTTTTCGAAGCAGGGGGTGTTCAGAGGTGCTTTGCCGCTGCCTGCCTCTGCACTGCAAACCTGGACTGCCTTGGGGGTCTCCCATTCAAATACTGACCAGAACCGACCCTGCTTAGTTTCTGAGATCTGATGGGATCAGACTAGGCTGGGCTATCCCGGTCAGGGGACGCTTAAGCTTGCGGTCAGTCTATACAAGGAGAGGAGGCTCTAATTCGGGACACCTCCTGAGAAAAAGGGATATTAAGGCAAATACCGAAATAGAGGAGATAAGGATTTTCACCAAGGGCAACAAAAGAGCAGGAGGCCACTCTACCTCAATGATCTCTCCATTTTCAAATAGTTGTGAATGATTCCTAATTATGGATATATACAACAACAGGGTCTGAACTTGCAGAGGGAGGAGACCTTAGGTTCACGGTGGATAGCTCAATGGAAGGATCAACTTTACATGCTGCAGAGGGATATGCTAGAGCAGGGGGTGTCAAACATAAGGCCCGGGGGCCGGAACCAGGCCGGTCCAGGGCTCTTATGCGGCCTGTGAGCTACTCGTGCAAGGAGGGAACAGGAGACTACTCAGGGGGGACTGTGGCTTCAGCATGGCGAAACAACCTTGTCGGCAGCAGTCAAGCACTGCGGGAGCGCCTGCCCAGTGCTGCGCCACCGACTCTCCAGTCCACCCATCCAGGTTTTCCTTTGCACACCCCTCCCAGGCCATGAGGCCTTGCAGTGAGGATACACCGACTCTGAGTTTACCAGCTGCTGTCCTTTATACAGTTGATATCTCCAGCAAATGGCATTACGTTTTATGGCACACATGGCCCGGCCCGACAAAGTGACATTTATGCCGGATCCGACCCTCATAACAAATGAGTTCGACACCTCTGTGCTAGAGATTATTAGGGAAGGGGCAGAAAATAGAGCAGCTGGTACTGTGACGTCCTTATACAGTTGCAGGTAATCCCCCCACCCCCTTGAATGCTGCCCTGAACTCCGTAGACAAACAGTGAGATGCAAGCTGAGAGGAGCTGCAATGTGGCCAAGTGCGAGACGATGCACACTGGAGCCAAAAATCCTAAATATAAATATACACTGATGAGGTCTGAACTGGCAGAGACTGAACAAGAGAGAGATCTTGGAGTTGTAGTAGATAACGCAATGAAAATGTCGAGACAGTGTGTGACTGCAATAAAGAAGGCCAATGCTATGCTGGGGATTATTAGGAAGGGTATTGAAAACAGATCAGCCAATATCATAATGCCCCTATATAAATCAATGGTGCGACCTCATTTGGAATACTGTGTGCAGTTCTGGTCACCACACCTTAAAAAGGATATTATAGCTTTGGAAAAAGTGCAGAAAAGGGCAACTCGAATGATAAAAGGGTTGGAACACTTTCCCTATGAGGAAAGGTTAAAGCGCTTAGGGCTCTTTAGCTTGGAGAAATGATGATTGAGGGGTGACATGATTGAGGTTTATAAGATTATGCATGGGATAGAGCAGGTAGAGAAAGAGGTACTTTTCTCCCTTTCTCACAATACAAGAACTCGTGGGTACTCAATGAAATTGCTGAGCGGTCAGGTTAGAACGGATAAAAGGAAGTACTTCTTCACCCAAAGAGTGATTAACACATGGAATTCACTGCCACAGGAAGTGGTGGCGGCTACAAGCATGGACGGCTTCAAAAGGGAATTAGATAAGCATATGGAGCAGAGGTTCATCAGTGGCTATTAGCCACAAGGTATAGATAGGGACTCTGGGGCAAGTGATGCTCTGTCTTATTGGTGTTTGGGGGGTGGTCAACAGTGGGAGGGCTTCTAATGTCCTGGCCCCACTGGTGGACCTCCTGATGGCACCTGGTATTTTTGGCCACTGTGTGACAGAGTGTTGGACTGGATGGGGCTGATCCAACATTGGCGTCTCTTATGTTCTTATGTTCTTAGGAGTTACAAACTGAGTTTCCATGTGTATGTGTGTAAACTTTATTTATGTGAAGGCATCACAAAGTTTCACCACTTGCCTCTCCTTCAAAAAGAAAACAGCTGCTTTAAAAAAGATGAATAAACTGTCCAGCTGCTTTAAAAAAGATGAATAAACTGTCCAGAACTCTCCCACTTACATGGAGCCAAGCACACCCCTCTGTTGCACAAGAACTGGACAGCAGCCCATAAATCACGCAGCCTAACTTGCATGTTTGCAAAGGGAAAGTTTCTCAACTTCCCGCCTTTATCCACAGGTCGATCTTGCCCAGGTGCAGATGCAGCTCCAGCTTCATTTGGTCCAATGAAAGGATTAAACCCCTGATGAAGCACTTCCTGGCCTCCTGCTTACTAAGACAGATGTCAGAGAACAGGTTATTTCAGCAGAACTGGTTTGTCCTCTGCATCTCCTTCCACAGAGGCTCCCGACTCACCTGGAGCTGAGCTGCAGGCAAGTTGACGTCAGCCACCATCTCAGTGCAAGGGTGCTCCACCTGTAGCCGAGGGTTTAGCTCCAAGAAGTGGAAGTTGCCATCTTGGCTGTAAAGGTATTCCACTGTCCCAGCACTTACGTAGCCCACCATCTTGGCAAGCTTCACTGCACACTGGAGGCAGAGAACAGGATCAATCAAGTCAACTGTGACAGTGACAGTTAAGAGCAAAGAGTGGGTCAGACCAAAAGGCTCATCTAGTCTAACATCCCATTTCCCACAACAGCTAGCCAACTGCCCCTAGGAAGCCCGCAAGCAGGGCAAGATGACAATAATAGTCCCCAAAACACAGTGTTGCCCCACAGTGGGTTATAATTCTTCTTCTTTTTAAAGTAGCCATAGGTACACTTTTATTAATTTTTCTTTTATAATCTACAACAAACAAATCTACACACTACAAACAGACACTCTACTACACATAACATATGTATGCTTATATCCAATTACTTAATTAATAAAAATGCTCTATCAGACACTTTCCATTCTTCTGTCTTCTGTATTCTCAAGTCCAATGTGCTATAATTGCCTAATCTTCTATTATATTTACATTATACCAATCATAAAACTTTTTCCATGTTTTTTGAAATGTCCACTCTTTGCTTAGTCTCATTTCTAAAGTCAGTTTATTATTTTCTGCTGTTTCAAAAAGTTTATTCACAAACTCCTGTTTCGTTGGTATCACCATAGTTTTCCAATATTTGGCATATAAGATTCTTCAAGCTGTCGTCATATAAACAGTCAAATACCTATTCTCTTTTTCATAATCATTTGGAAATATATTCAACAGCAAGATCTCTGGAGTAAATGGAATCTTTGCTCTTAGTATCTTCTCCATCAAACTATGGACCCATTTCCAAAAGTTTTTTGTAACATCGCATAGCCACCACATATGATAAAATGTGCCCCTTTTACTCTTACATTTCCAGCATTTATAAATTCCATCATTCAAGGCTTATAGCTATTATAAATTGTCCAAGGATTAAAACTAGATTGTGTAAAAATAATGGCTGCTAGTTTGATCATGCGTATCATATGATCCATTTATATTTCTAAGAATGTATTTTATGCTTCTGTATTGTGTACTGAGCAGATCTGTGCAAGAAAGAAGTTACTGCAACAAGCAGTCATTCTCTTTATGTATGTTGTGCACCACAGAAATATTTTATTTCATCTCTCCTTACATAGAATTCTGTTTTGGGGTGACTCTTTCCTGAATGTTCCACATGCTCCCAAATCAATTGAGTCCCTGATCTGTCACTCAGGAGCTGTGCAATCCCCTGGCTGCATTGCCTCGTTGCATTGTCTCAGTCCCGCCCACAGAGCCAGCAGCCAGCATCTCAGGCTGTCTGGAGGGAGCCGGCGAATGGGATGGATCCTCTCAATTCCTGGCCACAAACAGCTCCCATAGCAATGGAAAGCCAGCAGCATTAGCCAATTAAGGGTTGTGCTTTTAGTGAGGGAAACCAGCCAGGGAGGAAGGGAGATGGCCGTCTGGCCATGGAGACCCTTTAATGTCATAGGGAGACAAGTCTGAAAGTCGAGCCTGCCAGAGATGAGGCAGACCGATGTGGGAGGGTTGACTTTCACGCAGTACCGCTTCCCCGGGCACAGAGAGTTCCACGTGGACACCTCTGGTGAGGGCTGTCCTCCGACGCTCTGGTGGGCAGAGGCTTCGGAGGCCGAGGCCAAATATAGCGGTGCTGCAGCGGTCATTGTTGGCCGTGTCAGGGTGCAGGGAGCTGGCCAGGTGGTGAGCCCATGGAAGTGGCGCCCAGCCTCTCGCCCTCAGTGTGCCGCAAGGTGATGGACAGGCCCATCGATCTGGTGGCCACAGGTGGCAGGGCGGGATGCATGCAGATGAGGACCAGCCCCATAGACGAGAACACGGCCAAGGAGGAGGGCGAGGCTGAGATCTTGCTAGCACTCATTGTATTCCTTTTACAAAGGGCTTTGCTACTAGTTAATACATAAACCAATAAATAATTTTCCAGATATTGGGCCTGACCTAGTCAAGGTGAAACATGTTTACATGCCATTGATTTCAGTGACTGCATTATGCATGAGCTTCAATTTCTCCTATTGGAACAAACAGGACTTGAAAAGTACTTAAGTTTGGGCAACTTCATCCAAGTCCAATAGGAAAGATGACTAAATGCAGGGAGAACATTCAGATGGAAGTGCTAAAGAAGGAGAATGCTACCATTGCTACCATTGCTTCACATTGTCTAAAATAAAATAAGCTGTTTACATGTGCTGTATCATAAGAATGTCCTTCTTGTATTTAACATCAGCTGTTGAGGGACCCAATAAACATGTATATGTTTGTTCATATATAAAGTAAGACAGTCTATTTTTAAATAAAACTGGAGCACCAGGATGAGGAGACCTGGCACTCCTCTCTCTTACCAGGGTCTGCCCCACTGGTTGAGCCATTTTTCCCTGGCCTGGCACCAGTATGGAATGTGAGCTAGGCTATGAGGGGAAAAACAGCACTGAAGAAACAGAGGACAGGGAAGTCAAGTGCAGAAGCTTAAACTGCATGTTGACGATTCTAATAAAGTTCTTATCAGAGAAGGAAGAGCATTAAACAGGATCCTGATTAAATCAGTTCTCAACACCAGTCACTTCTAAGAAAGCTAAGATATAGTATGTTAAAGTAAAGGCGCTAAAGATCAGGACCCAATCACCCCACGGTATTTGCCCGCCAGAATTAACAGTCAACTGCCCCCCCCACTAAGCACGTTGTACCTTTATCCGTTCTTTCAGATTCTCATATTTTTGTCTTCTTTGCTTATTAATTTTTGCTGCTTCCTGTATCAACAATCCTCTTGAGAATCCTTTCATTGTATCCCATATCACTTCTATGGATGTTCCTTGCTTCTTATTTTCTCTAAAAAACATTGTCAGTTCCTCTTTCATTTTGTTTGTAAATGTCTCATTTCTCAAAGTCCTTAAATTCAACGTCCATCTGCTTCTTTTGCCTTCAGTTTGTAATTCCATATATACTGATCTGTGGTCTGCATATATCCCAGCTTGTATTTCTGCTTCTCTTAAGTCTTTAACCAAAACTGCTGAAATCCATATCATGTCTATTCTAGACCATGAATCATGTCTTTCTGAATAATATGTATATTGCCTTGTATTGTAATTTCTTATTCTTCATGCATCTACCAAGTTCAGGTCCAACAGCATTTGTTCTAAACTTTTTGGCATTTCTGTTTTTCTTTCTTTCCCTTTACTTCCTTTCTGTTTATCTTTTTCCTCTTCAGCAATTGTGTTAAACTCCTCAGCAATTGTGTTAAAGTCCCCTAGTAAACACAAATTTTGATAATCCTGGTCAATTATTCTCTCATGAAGCTCCTTATAGAATTTTTCTTGATCTTGATTTGGTGCATATATATTTATTACTAATATCTTCTTGTTCTGGTTTTGGATTTCCACCATTAAAATTCTTCCATCTTCTGAAGAAGATACTTTTTCCGGAAGGAGTTTCTCTTTAACAATTATCGCCACCCCTCTCTCTTTTTCATTTTTATCTGAGGCTAAGAAAGTTTTTCCCAATTTCTTATTTTGCATTACTCTCTCATCTTTTTCTCAAATGTGTGTTTCTTGTAGCCCAATTATATCCACATTTTGCTTCCCCAATTGATGAATTTTTTGTGGTCCATTTAATCCATTGATGTTCACCGATAAGATCTTGAGCTTCCCTTTATCCATTGTTCTTCTCATTCTGTTGATATCCTCTTCGCCTGTACCACAGCCGTGTACCAATTGGGGAATATCGACGTGGACTTCTAATCCTCCTCTCCTTGGGTCTTACCGAGACTTCTGCCCCTTCAGCCGGTTTCTCCCCCTCTTTTTTCTCTTTTTCTTCCTTCTCTTCCTCTCTCTGTTCTTCTTCTTCTTCTTCTTCCAATCCCAGTTCTTCTCCATATTTTTTGAGGAAGTCTTCCGCTTTAAAGATTGATGTAATCCAATACTTCTTATCTTGCATGGAAAAAGCCAGGCCTTCTAGA